CAACTTCTTCAGATGTTCCATGTCAGCAGTTAATAGATCGAGCAAAAAGAAGCTCTCCTCTATGATCTCGGAAAATGATGCTAATCCCAGAAGAATTAAGTGCTGACGTGGCCTCTTCAAAAGATCAGGCAGAGGATGGATACTCAGTTTGTTCAAGCTTGAGCTTGGTCTCTTCAAAAATTTTACAAAGGGCTATTAGGATAGTTTGACTCGGCTTGGCATCAATCCTCTCAAAAACAGCTTTACATCTACCCTTCCAGCAATAATTGCACAAATACTAAACAAACTTAAAGATTGTCTATCATCCCAACAACTCTTGTTCCATCAAAATTCCAACCATTGAGGTAGATTCCATCCTTCAAAATCATCAACTCTCAATGAGAGGCAAGAACCGAATCACACTGCTTTTGTAGCTGAGCATTTAAGAAACAGATGTTCACAGTCTTCCTCTTCCTCTTGACACAGAGCACAGGGTCTCTATCTTATTGTACAAGCGAATTGTTTAATGATTTGTTTTGTAGTGTAATTTTACTTGCACTAATACATATGCATGATAGTGCAAATTAACGCAAATCCATCATCCACCAGTCTATTTGGCTTAATTTATCTGTTACAATAATTAATCTTTCGATATTTCTAAACACTGAAGGAAAACCAAACTAATTGGTTTTAAAAACCAAAAACCCCTTAAACTGGCGTAGGCCCACACCAAAAGCACTAGCTTGTGCACTCCTTTAATGCTGTCTTTGTAGAATTCTTTACTTATCAACCAAACATAGCCGAAATGTTAAAGCATTAATTTCTCATGGTTGTTATTTGTAACCGTGACTATTTCCTTCTTGAGATTGCTTCAGTCAGTGCAATGCCGAGTTCATACTGTTTGAACAGTTTCGTTGCAATTTTGCATTGAGGATATTAGGGAGAATGACTGTTCAGTTCATGTCAGAATTTTTAGCTTCGCCATACAGGTGGGATGAATACTAGCCGTAAATTGATGTCAAATTCGCAGACAAGATGCGGAGAGGGCTACTAGTAGACTATAGGGGACAGTAATTTTAAAATTCTGTGTTAGATTTATTGCTATGACCCTACTAAGACGTCATTTCATTTCATTCAAGGTAAAGCTATATGAGTCCTGATCACCTGCCAACAAAATTCATTCCAATGACCTACCAATATGATTTCACACCACACATTTTACATATGGTGGATTCCACTTTTATGGCGGGTCTCAGTTTCATGATGAGATGTGCAGTGTTGGGTCAAATTGATAGAGGGTTGGAAGGTGTTTTATTGACAAAAGATTCCAATTCAAATCCATATCGATACATCAAAGTGTTTGAATCTTGCTACCCACTTCTATACCCATCATACATTACAGCTGTGCATTAGGAACATCTCTCGTGTCATTTACAGGGAGATGTTCCCAATACACGGCAATGGTGCTTTGTGGGTATCAGATTCAGAGAGTACGTCAAAGACTTTGATTTTCTTGTTTCAGCGCAATGCTACAACACAGTGTCTTAGCAAAAGTGGTTTAACTCTTTAAACCCAACCAGGGGACAGCCTGACCAGGCTATTACGAATTCGGCTTTGGTCGAGGCAAAGTCCGTTCGAGAAGCCTTTACAGCCTTGTATTGAGAACATCTTCGTACTTATGTACTTTATTTCATGGGGAGATATTCCCAATGCAAAATTGTAAAAGGTGGTTGGAACGGTGTGGACACGGGCTTGCCCTAACGGAAATCAATGTCAACTATCACCCGTAGATTGGGAGTGATGATAGGTTGATATCAACCCAACCCGAACCATTGAACCTCCACCCTAATCTTGACTCAGCCCGATGATTTTGGATTGTATTGGGCTTGAGTTGGCCAAATTTAAATTTTGGGTACAATACAAAAACCTCCCCTAAGATTTCTGACAATCATAAAAACCTTTCCTGTAGTTTAATTTTAACAAATACCTCCCCGAACTTTTGAAAATAATAAATTAACAGAAACCCCCTTCAAGCATCATTGAAAATATATTAAAATTCTAAAAGTGCTCTCATTCGATTAACATCACTCTTGCGATTTTACGAGTCTTTTTTCAGAGCAAAATAATAGAGCTTAAACCTTAACACCACTAAACACTTGTATGGCACCATCATTCAAAATATTCCATTCACCTAAGAATATTTCCCATTTTCTAGAAATCCTTCTTCACCAACCACTGTTCTTTACCGGCAATTGTTCTTCACCAGCAGCTGTTCTTCATTGTCTACTATATCTACTTCCCCCCTCAAGCAATTTGTAATTTACCCTATTTCTTTTATTAAAAAATAAGTTAATATTCAAATTATAAGGACCTTTTTTTAAGGCAAAATTTAGGGGGTGTTGGACAGCATGGTAGGTTTTTGTTTTTGAAAGCGAAAACAAACGATACATTAGAAAAATTATATTGTTTTTGCGCAGTTGTTTTTGTTATCTAAAATAAAACCAACCATATCGTAAAACACCCCCTTATATCCTACAGATTTTTATTTATCTTCTTTTTCCATCGAACCAACATAGCCATAGAGTACAGTTTTTCCAGCCATATGTACTACCACAATACCTTATTATAGCATCTACCCTTCTGGGGGATGTTTGACAATGTAAAATGCTTTTGTTTTCACTTGTTTCATGTTCTCAAACATTATTTTTATTTTGAGAAGTGAAAATAAGATGTTACCAAAAAAAAGAAGTAAAAATAAGATGGTTTTGTTTTCAAAAGCAAATCATATTTTTGAACCATCAAAATTATCTTCTCTAAAACAAAAACAAAATTAGCTTTTAATATATAAACATTTGAAAACAAAAATAAAATTGCATACCCGACCAAGGGCATATTTCTATGTTTTTGTTTTAAGAAACAATCTTATTTTCAAATTCTGAAAATTTATGATACCAAAAGTCATGATACCGAAAGACTTTGACCAATCAAAATCCATCCCTAAATTTTGATAAATAACATTAGATTGATTAAATGATACTGATTCATTGGTCATAAATTTTTTGGATATGATATGTTTCAGGTACCATAGTCGAGATGATTTTGGTTTGTTTTTAAAACCAACAACAAGAAATATGTGCCCCTTAAATTTATATGGCCTCTGCACTTTTTCTAAATAAACAAAGAAGTGGAATTCTGGCAGGTTTCGTGAAGGATCCAACTGCGGGATTCCCTCATAGAGATAGAACCTTTTTAGTCCGTCCAAAAAGTTTGACTCGGCCTGGCCCATAATTTTTTGGGCTTAAGCCAAAGGTTCCATTTAACGGAAAAATACGGACAAGCCTAATGCAGATTTCTGATTTACACTGTAAATTTATAAACATTCCGGACAAGGTCTAAAAATTATAGTCTATGCATCTCTACCTGCCTGTGAATTAGCATCAATTCCGAACTGACACCTACCCCAACTGTACTTTATGCCTATGAATTTTGACCCTGGGCTGAACCGTCTTTCTCCCTTCATTTAAAGGCCCAGCAATTTCTATGCCAAGCATAGATCTATATTTCTGGTCAAGGTTCAGGCTAAGCATAAGTCCAGACACAAGGCAAGCCCCTTATCCTAAAAGTTAAACCCGTGATGGGATCTAGTGTATTAATTCTTGATTCATCACTAGTCAGGTCTTGTATTCAAGCCAGATCACTTTTTCTATGACAGTGGTCGTAGCATAGGGCTAAAATTAGGCTAAAACCAAAAGTCATATCTTTAGATTTAGGGAGAATGACTGTTCAGCCCATGTCAAAATTCTTAGCTTCATCATACAGGTGGGATGAATCCTGATCATAAATTGATGCCAAATTCACAGACAGGATGCGGAAGGGGCTACTACTAGACTATGGGGGGCAGTGATTTTAAAATTCTGCGTTAGATTTATTGCTATGACCCCACTAAGATGTCATTTCATTTCGTTCAAGGTGAAGCCATATGAGTCCAGATCACCTGCCAACAAAATTCATTCCATTGACCAATATGATTTCACACCACACATTTTATATATGGTGGATTCCACTTTTATGGTGAGTCCCAGTTTCATAATGAGATGTGTGGTGTTGAATCAAATTGATAGAGGGTTGGAAGGTGTTTTGTTGACAAAAGATCCCAATTCAAAGCCATATTGATACATCAAAGTTTCCGAATCTGTTACCCATTTCTATACCCATGATACATTACAGTTGTGCATTAGGAACATCTCTCTTGTCATTTACGGGGAGAGCAGATTCAGAGAGTACATCAAAGACTTTGATTTTCTTGTTTCAACTACAACACTGTGTCTTAGCAAAAGTGGTTAACTCTTTAAACCCAACCAGGGGACAGCCTGACCTGAATAATCACGAATTTGGCTTGGGTCAGGGTAACCCATTCTAATAGCTATTACAGCCTTGTATTGAGAACATCTCCATACTTATATATTTTATTTCATGGGGAGATATTCCCAATGCAAGATTGTAATAGGTGGTTGGAACGTGTGGAAATGGGCTTGCCCTGACGGAAGCCGATCTCAACTATATCACCCGTAGATTGGGAGTGATGATAGGTTGATATCAACCCTAATTCAACCCAACCCGAGCTATAGAACCTCCACCCTAATCTTGACTCAGCCCGATGATTTTGGGTTGGATTTGGCTTGAGTTGGCCAAATTTAAATTTTTGATGGGGATGATAATTAGCCACGTCATCACTCATCAGTCGAGCAAAACTAGTACTCATGCAGCAGGTGGCCACGTGACCGTATTGTATTGCAAATGAAGCGGTATGCTTACGACTCTGCGCGACCAATGGAAACACCTTTCACTCTATATCTATATCATGGCCTTTGTTGCGAATGCTGAAATTTTCAAAGAGAAAAGAGAACGAAGAAGAGAAAGAGATAGAACTGGTTATAATTATCAAAAAATAAAATAAAAAAGAAGTAGAACTGGTAATTGCTGTTCTCGTGGATTAATTATTAGCGACAAGCAGAGTTCTAATGGCGACTAGCGAGAACTCCGAGAAGCCAGTAATGGTAATCGCCATTGACGACAGTGAGCATAGCTTCTATGCTCTCGAGTGGACTCTCGACCATTTTTTTGCTCCTTGCATCTCGAATCCTCCTTTTAGGCTCGTCATTGTCCACGCAAGACCGTCTCCTTCTTCCGTCATCGGACTCGCCGGACCTGGTGAGATAAACACTAGAATCCGATTTGATCTCTCTGCTGCGTTTTGTTTTCCGACGTTTCTTTATTTTTTTCCTCTCTTGGATTTTCTACCAATAGACATATGATTGCTTCATGTGGATCAGCCCTAGTTCCCAAACAGGCCCTTAGTAGTTGGATGGTTTAATTTAGTAGGGTCTGTGTTTTCCCTTTAATTGGCGAGCTAAAACTGGACTATAAGGAATTGCAGGGGCTGCCGAAGTTTTGCCGTTCGTGGAGGCAGATCTGAAGAAGACGTCAATCAAGGTTGCAGGGAAGGCAAAGGAAATCTGCAGCTCTAAATCGGTAACAATCTGTTAGATGACTCTACTGCTTGATTTTGAACGAAAATGGGGAAGAAATTCGAGTCTTTTTTTTTTAATTAAATCTTCGTAATTAGTTCTAGATATGATTAATTTGCGTTCAATGCCACCTCGTGGCACTTGATCTGGTAAGTATAGTATAATCTTTTATTTGATAAAAAGAACTCAACATTAATGCTAGCTTTTTTTTATCTGTTCTCATGAAGTTTGCTCAAGTCTTCTGCCTTTAACCAAAAATTAATGGGACTATATACAATAAAGAGATCAGATAGCTGAATATACTCCGAAGATATTGAAGTTTAGAAATGATGGCTTCTGTTTCCTCCGTTTTTCCAACAATCGCTGACCCAGACGGTCAGACCGTTCAGGCATTAGGTTCCTTTTTCACCCCCTGAACCACTGACCTATGCGATCAAACCATCGACCTGGACAAAGGTTATTGGCCGTTTTTTGTTTTTAGTTTTTTTTTTTTTTATTTGCTAAATCACAATGGATCATTTGTTCAGACCAGACAGTCAAACCACTCACCCGAAAATAAGTGACCAAAATGGCTCTGGTTCCAAGTCCATTTTTAAAAGGGTAAATTGCTGAAACCTCTCCCGAGTTTAGTCATTGCAATCACCTCCATTAAACTTTCTAAAACAGTTGCAATTAGACCCCCTGATAGAATATTCTAACAAAAAAAGGTAAAAGTGTCCAAAATATCTAAGCATTTCCTATTGAGGCTGGTTTCTATGGGAAAAAACAATAAAAATTTTATTAATAACAAAACAAGAGAAATTAAAGTTACATATGTAACTTTAAGTGATTGATATGAAGGGCAAATTTGAAAAATAAATCAATTTCAGAAAAGAGACCAAAAGGGTTTGAGGTAGTGATTATTATGAAGAGAACTTAGAAAATAAACATTTTTGCTAAAAATAATTGCATGGGTATTTAGGACATTTTCATGCCTCTTTTTAGAAAATTTTACTAGACGGGGGTCTACTTACAACTATGTCAAAAGGTTCAAGGGAGGTGATTACAATTATCAAACTTTAGGGGAGGTTTTAGGAACAACCAAAAACTTTCAGGAGAAGTTTCATCAATTTACCCAAAAAAACATTGCTCTAAACAAAGGAGTGAATATTACCACAAGATTGACAAGCTTGACGATGGGGCCGTTTGGCAAGTCTTTTTGAGAAGTTCTTCTGGTAGGTCTGATAGTCAAAAGACACGTTAAGCTTTTGCATGAAGACTTGAGCTGACCGAATCTAGTTTGGCTGTCATGCGTCTTTCCATGCGAGAAAGACGCAGAAAGCTTCATTTGAAGCTTCCCGAAATCAGCCCAAAGTGGGCTTCTCACGTCTTTTCGACACACTGACTTTTGGCGGCTAGATTTGTTACAAACCAAACGAAAAAAGACATCGGTGTGATCTGCTCGGCTTGTAAAAAGCCGAAAGACAGCACGAAAAGACACACCAAACAAGACCGATATACTTTGTAGATACAGAAAACAATGGAAGAAAGGTGGTTAATGTGCATCACAATGGAGAATACCATGGCTTCTATGTCCTCTTGTCATAGTGCAAGCTTTCCCTCTACATAATGAACAAACTAACTACATATTACCATGGGATATTAGGTGGATGCGATGGCTGTCCAGCAGAGTGTAGAACTGGAACCAATGATGAGGTTCCACGCCAATAATAAATTCATTGGCCTCACTGTAAAAGGTACAAGTCCCATGTATTTAAATACTGACATAAAACCTTATCATCAGTTCCACAGCCTACTAAACAGCCATCGCGTTCAGTCAAAACTTGTTTCATTTTGTAGCAAGATTCAAAATATTGATAGCACACCCTGATGTACCGAAAGGAATGTGTGGATATTTGAATGTTACATTTTTTAGGGTCTGTTTGGTTCATAGTCGGAATCGGAATCAAAATTCTCTGGAATCGAAATCGGAATGGTCCATTTCCATAGTCTGTTTGATTCAAATAGGAATGGGAATAAGAATTAAAATCAGCAAGAATGGGATTTCATTCCCAAGGGAGGGGCCATTCCCTCAAATGGGGGAATGCCATTTCATTAGAAATGGGAATAGGATTCCAATTCCACCCAAACCAAACAATTAGAATCGGAATAGCCCATTCCGATTCCGATTCCAAACCCCTATTCCTGCAAACCAAACAGACCCTTAAGTTTTTTTCAGAATTTCAAGGGGGATTATTTTTATGTTCTTTAATTATTAAAAGAAGTCTTAAAATGCGTTAAAATAAATGTATCGTATTGAAATTTTAAAACTTATTTCATAGATTAAAAAATAATATAATCAAGGTTTTTTAGATATATAAAACAATAGAATCAATGTGATATAAATTAAAGCAAATTAATCACTTCTTCCCCTAATCGACTCACCCAAACTGCTTTTACCTTTTCCTTTTATGTTATTATATTTTTTTTCTGCCAATGTGGTTGGTTTGCCTTAATCAATGACTTCTGATTGATCTGCAGGTGAACACAACGGATGTGGAATCTGTGGAAGGTGATCCTAGGAATGTTCTCTGTGAGGCCGTAGAGAAAAACCATGCAGCCATATTGGTCATGGGTAGTCATGGTTATGGAGCTCTAAAAAGGTAAAAGATGTACACCACCCATAAAGATGTTTGATTAAAGCCTAAAAATATAGAAATGCACTAGATATACAAGTATGCGTCTAGAAATGCCTTATACATTCAAATTACTTATATATATCCCATGGTTTAAAATCAGACCAGACCGATTGGTCGGACCGGAAAAATTAGGAACTGGTCATTTGATTGGTTCCATTTTACCCCAGAATCATTTTGGCCAAAAACCATTAATTTGGTCAGTAAATCATTGACCTGGTTGATCGAACCATTTGAACCGTTCAGTAGATTTGGCTATTTTTATTTTTTAAATTTTTTTGTCAAAATAGACTGTCCGATAAGTTCAAACGGTCCGAAAACCAGACCCCTGAATGGTTCGTTGTTCAGTTCTATCAAAGCAAGTCAGTGCTCACACCCTTCTAACATCCCCTTATAATCTTGCATTGGAAATATCTCCCATGAAATAAATCACATAACTATGAAGATATTCCCAACGCAAGGATGTAAAGGTTGTTCGAACGAACTTTGCTCTGACTGAAGCCGGACTCATACATATCAATACAATGCTTGCTAGACAAAAAAGAACCATCTCACAATTATAAGATGCCTTTTAGCAGGCTTTATTAATTAATTACAGCAATTTTTATATTGAATTAATTCTGAAATTTTACTTTAACTTATATTATAGTTAAGTCGTCGAATATAGTCAAATCTTTATTTTATTGGGACCTTGCTATGCATGAAGAGGGGCGGCAATTGGATGGGTTGGGTTAGGCGGGTTGAGTTTTAACTCAATTCATCTGATCCGTCAATCTGTTAATGACCCATTTAAATAAAATTAAATGGGTTGAATTCAATCAAATCCATCTTGGTCCAATCTAATTCATCTAATTTGTTAATTTTGTATTTACTATATGAAATTTGCTTGAAATTAAAAATGCAATTCACCTTTTGACAATTTAGTTAAACATGGCCTGATGATGAAAGTGTTGTCTTTCACATGAATGTTCCATGCTCAAATCCCATCACATACACATTTTTTACATGGGTAATTCAAGAGGAATTAATCTTGCTCATGCACGTTTGAACCATGTGGGTTTGGGCCGAACCGGATCAGAACAAACCACCCAATTGGGTTTGGGGTTGGTTGAACTATTTAGGACAGAATCAGACTGGACTGACCAAATCAGTTTAGATCAAATGGAATGGTAGGGTTCGGTTTAATTTGGACCATGCACGACGAGACCATTTGGGTATGAATCGGACTAGGTTTGGGTTGCTTTGAGTTAGGCATGGTTGGACCATTTAGGTATGAAGTGGACCGGTCCGACCCAGATCAATTCAGGCCAGACCAGCTAACTGGGATTGGGCTTGTTTGGACCATTTGGGCTTAGATTGAGTCAGACCAACTAGAACCAATCGAACCACCATTTCAACTATGGTGAACCAAATCAAAGCTTGGGTTCATGTTAATATAGGTAAACTGTGGTGTCACGTATCAGGCTCGGATTCAAGTTAATATGGGTAAAGTGTGTTGATCCGAACTGGAACAAGTCATATTGATTGGTTGAACCTGTCCAAACAAAATGGGGCGATCTGGCCTTTTGACTGGGTTCACGTTTATTCTTGTCGGGGTATGGTTGAACCTCTCAATTCTACTCAGCTCTAAATCGGACTAGACCAATTGCCCCACTAAACCATCTAACCATATTGGAATTAATTATGGGTGCACTGCATTGACCCAAATTGGATCAAACCGTCAGACCATTTGACCAAGTCCCAGTTCTCGCTAGTTCAGGTTAGGTATGGTTGCACCATATTTGTGTCAATCCGACCCAACCCAAATGAGAAACTAACTAGTCAATTCATACTTGTGTGATTAGGGGTTAATCTGTTGGGTACCCACAACCCAACCCAATCCATTTAAATTGTTCTCAAACCTATTTTTAAATTTCAACCCACTAAGTAAATTACTAAATAAGCAGTTTGGACGGGTTCAATGGGTTGGGCATGAAACTGCCACCCTTACGCATCATTATGAAATCAAGTAGACTGTATATTACTAATAGAATTTACTAAAACTCCATGTCCATACTATATGATGTATGTTTTAAAAACCGATCTGAAACCTGAACTATTTTGGCCGCCAATTTTTGAGTTAGTGGTTCAATTGTTTGGTTCGAATGGATGGTCTGTTTTAACTAAAAAATTAAAATAAAAACAGTCAAAAACATTGTCTGGATCAACAAGTTGAAAGTTTGACACCCGGGTCAATGGGTTATTGGCCAAGTCAACGGTTTTTGGCATAATAACAGGTTAAGGGTAAACAAAACTGATTGCCTGAACAACTTTTAGGACAAACAGTCTGACCATCCAAGTCAACAATGATTCGAAAACACTATACCATATAATATCAATACTTGCCTTGGTTTTTTATAAAAGTCAATAAGTTTAAACCAAAGTATCATATGATGAGGTTAATACTTATATTTTAAGTCTAAATTCGGATTTACTCCTCACAGAGCCACCTCACACCAACCTTATTGTGCTTTTGGACATGCATTGAAATCATCTCCCGTACTTCATGTTGTCATTTATGGGAAGATCTTCCTAATGCACAGCTGTGATATACTGTGAGATTGGTGTGAAGTGCATTGAAGAACAAATCCAGTTTCCGAGCCAACCATGGTCCACAATCACTCAATTTCTCACTCTGCATTAAGGGCTGGACATTACATTTCTTTTTTTCTCTACAGAATTATTTATTTATTTATTTATATTGTTTTGAGTTAAATCCTCACATCTCTTGCAAATTCGTTCACTGGTGGTGGTGCAGGGCGGTATTAGGAAGTGTAAGTGACTACTGCGCACACCATGCAAATTGTAGCGTTATGATTGTGAAGAAGCCCAAGGCCGGCAACAACTAAACTACTTCCCCAATTTTCTCCAATAAATGGATTGGATGCAAACCAACCATCATGACTGTGTCTTTGCTGTGCAATATCCAAATCCTGTTTGTCAATTGGTTTGAATTGTGATAAAGTCTATTTGCTGATTGCATTCATTACCAATGTGGCCATCCACATGGATGTGAGAGAGAATCAACTTTTTTTCTTCTTTTTCTTAAATTTTTTGTTAAAGTAAATCATAACTGCTAAACTTTTGTAGTGGTATATACAGAATCCCATAAAGCCTGGATTGGTTTGAACCAAAGTTCAAGATATTATGCACCTTGATACTGCAAAAGAGATGTATTGGTAAGTGAATACTGTTTTTGTCAATGTTGGATAGCTCTCTGATTAACAGGCGATTAGGTCCGAATAAATGACTCCAGATTTTTTGCCCACAAGAATTTTGTTCACGTCTACCCACAAGCACAACACACTATTTCTATGATTTGGGAGCATCTTCCCATGCATAATACTATGTAGTAAGATGAGATATTCCTTATGTGTGGTTTGATATTATATGGGTAGACGTGGGCAGAATTCCCAGCACCTTTGTCAACTCGTTCTCTCAGGGTTCCGTAACAGCATATATAAGTGTGTGTGTGTGTGTTTGTGTGTGTGTATGTAAACATTGGATATTGTTTTCCCTTAGGCTGCTTTTAGAATCGGTGTAAATCAAGAACAATGTAAAAATTTATACTGGTTCACTTTTGTCAGCGTTTGGAGGGAGTGTTTAATCATGATCAACATAAAACTCCACTCTAGTTCAGTTTTGTATATGTTTGGATGGAGTGGAGTTTTTACGTCATGAATTAGTGTAAAACCTCATCAAATATAAAGTTTTACATCGATTATCGATGTAAATACTACATCGATAAAATCGATGTAAAATTTTACACCGATCACATCACGCTTTTCAGATGTGCAACAGCCACTTCTTCACGGCTCAGTGTAAAACGTCATCGGTGCACTTTTATATCGATTCCAAACGCAGTCTCACTGTACTTTTGGGGTTGGTAAATGAAACATCTTTGTCTTATGTTTTTTATTTTATTTTTTAATTTCTCTCATTTTCCTGCATTTTTTATGAAAAATAGAATATTGATAAAATCTCCCTATTGGTTTTGGTGTTTGTGACAGAGAGCTTAAGCTCTATTTCATCTTTTTGAGGAAGAAGATGATGAACAGTGTTTTATTTTCAAAGATATTTTTAACATTTTCAAAAATCTTAAGTCGCATATGATATCACATGATACATATAACTGATAGTATGTTAACGATAAATACTAGATTGGCATATTTTGAAAATTCGAATACTGAATTTTCGTATTTTAAAATTTAAGGACCACGGTGGCACTAAGCACAAACGATTGAGGAATTTTCCCTTAAAATTAAGACATGGAATTAAAGATATGTTTACTTCCAAAATCACCCGCAAGATGATTTTTCTTTTGGTATGAAGGAAATCCTTGCAATACCACCAATCCTAAAAACAAGAGAGAGATATTTTCTGTGCTTTTTCTTCTTCAAGAATCAAGGATTTACTTTCAATGACACCCACAAGATATATCTTCTCCTTTTTCTATCAGTTTTCTTCGATAACAAAGTTATGGGAAAGATGAAACCAAACTTCGGCTGTCCACATTGGACAGACAAATTTTTCCTGAAACCAATGTCGCATATGGGAGTAATGTCAGACGGGACTGGGACACTTGTTAGGTCTTATTGCACAACCTACGAGAAGCAGTAGAGGGTGGACGGTTTTTGTGCCCATTTGGGAGAGGGCTTTTAAGCAATGGCTTTTGGAGTTTCATGACGCGGCTCAATCAATGCTGAAGCCCTCCCAAACAAGGTCTTAGATGTACATTTAAAAGTAGAGGCTTATGTGCAGCCCATCCACTCCCTTGAGCCCCTTCTACGTGATGGGTTTTGTTGACGATCCCCTTCGATCAAATTTAGGTGAATTAATGCTATTCCTACTGTTTGATTATTATCTAACGCTATTTCTAATGTTTTCTACCCTTACTGTTAGCCTTTCTTAATATTTCATCAAAACCCATACACATGTGATATAAATTTTTTTAGAACCCAATTTTATCTTTCTCTCTCACATTACCGTCGCTACAGCAGTGGACCCCTCCACCTCTAGCCTCTCTCTCTTTCCCTTTATGTTAGAATATTCCGATCTCACTCTACCCAATCTGGCGTTGTTGTTGCTAAAGATGGGGCCAAGGGCAACAAGGTAAATCCGCTTCCTTAGCCAAGGCCAATGTGTCTAACTTGAGAGTAAGAGATTACACGTCAGAGGCCCCGGGTGTTATCCCAGGGGCGGATACTTCGACGGTCAAGTTAGTCAAGTGTATGAGAGGATGGACGAGGTCTGAGGTGAGAGCTCAAACGAGGTCACTCGAGAGCAAGAGATCTAGAGAGCAAGAGTGAGCAAAATGGATTTACCTGGAGAGGGGCACCCCTATTTATACTTAATATTGCATTGGGAGTAGTTGGAGGTGGTTGGCAATGGGCATCCAGGATTGCATCCGGTCGATGCCACATGGCGACATCCTACGCCATGCCACATGCACCTATATCATTTGCCCCCCACTCTCGAGGTTGTAATGGACGAGGTTCGATGGAGGGCTAAGAGGAGACGTTGGCTTCGGCTGAAAAGAGTGCAATGATGCCACTGGAAGGTGTTGGATGGCACGTCAAGTGAAGGCCTCGGCTAGGTTGAAGAGAGTGTCGTTTAGAAGCGCGAAGGCGTCAGCCTCGGCTGCTAAGAGTTCCCTTCGGTCATCCAGTGGCAATTGCTTCTTAGTTGACTCCGTCTCTTAAGAGGATCATGGAGGGCAGAGGGCGCGGAGTCGGCGTCGACGTGCTCTTCACAGGTGTGAGGCGTCTGCGTTCATCGGCCGTGCTTTTCACAGGTGCCATTGTGGATCCGTACGCGCGATAGGCGTCGGCGTCGACTGGTCGTGACCATACACAAGACGGGCGGTGGGTCGCTTCTAACCTGGGATCGGCGGGCGAACCGGCTAACTTGCTCGACGTCATTTTGCATTCCCGAGGTCGACTCCATGTGGCACGCATCGGTTTAGGCTGTCAGGTCAGCTGCTCCATGACCGTTGGATCAAAGCGATATGAGTCGTTCATTCCTCTTTAAATAGGGTCACTAGTTGAGGCAATCGCTACCATTTGCTTGCTTCTACTCAAGTCTTTCGAGACCTCGGCACCTTCTAGCCGAACCCTTAGCCTTCTTCTTCGACTCAAACTACTAGGTAAAGGACTTCTCCCGTAGCCATGTCGTATTCTGACTCCGGTCCCGAATGTTATGAGCTTCCTGATCTTTCAAACACTAGGACATCCTCTTCCTCCCCATCTAGTAGTGAGAGTTCTAGTAGCGGGTCCGAGGGCTCTCCATGGAGGCTCAAGGTCCAGGTATTGAGGGAGAGAAATGCTCCTGGAGGTGCCAAGTGCGACCGGCAGAGTGATGAAATTCCCGATGAAAGTACTGGGTCTACGAGGTCAAGGGGCGACACCCCTGGGAATGACTTGGTGCAACCCGAGGTGGTAGAGTCTAAGGAAGTCAAGGACCCGAGCCCTGAAGACCTAGCCAAGGCTGAAGGCCAAGGCATCACATTGATGTGCTTTCTACGCTCTAACCTAGATAGCGGCTCAGAAAGAAGCAAGTGAGGTCCCTTAGTGAGATGTACCATGTCCCTGGGGGCTAGGCTTAGAGTCCCCAACATCAACGATAGGCCATGGCAATCGCCCAAGGGGGAGGTGTGTGAGCACTACCTCCACTTCGGCCTTTGATTCCCCATTACTCCTCTCGTCTCTAAGCTCTTGAACTGCTACAACATTTCCCTCAGTCAGCTTGCCCCCAATGCTGTTAGGACCATTATAGTTGTGTTGTTGATGGCTCACCTCCGAGGTGTTTATGTGATCGTGAACATCCTTCGGTGCATGTTCGTCCTAAGGAAGCACCCTACCGGGGAAGGTCTATTCTACTTCTAGGGCTGATGGGGTAGAGTGGTGGACAACCCATCGCACGTCTATAATTGGAAGAAGAAGCACTTCTTCATGTCCTGTTTGAAGGGTTGGCCTTTTAGGACTGACTGGGGGAAACCAGATCTTGTGGCCGAGAGGATACAACCTTACTATAAAGACGAGGAGGCCGACATGATGACCCGGATTTGGGTGTCGGGGATGATTCATGTCAAACCCTTGGTGGTGGAGGAAGCCTTGGCGTGGGCTAGTCTCAGCCCTACCCATCTTGGTAGGAGAACTCCTGTTGTTGGTTGCACACGCCGTATTCCCTCCTTATTTTGCTTCGCGTACTAACACGTCTTGTGGCGTTTTACAGAGTTGCAGGGGAACATCAAGGATAAAATTATGCAAATGGTGAAGTCCAACAAGAGGACAACGGGAAGGGGGGAATCAAGGAAGTCGATGCCGAGGGAAGCTGCTTCCGCAAGGGAACCACTTCGGCCGAAGGCTCCCGTCGAGGCCGAGCAGAGGAAGGAGCCCGTTGAGGACGAGAGGGGGAGGAAGCCTGTTGAGACTGAGAGGATGAAGGAGCCTACCTCCAAGAGACATGCAAAGCCCCTCCAGCCTCCAAGGGGGAAAAGGTTGGCGGTGAAGGAGCACCCAGTCGACGGCTCTGCCGGGGGCTCTCGGCAATCTAGTCCGCACTCGTCTGACATGCCATTGATGGAAAGAAGGGTCTTCCACCCCAACTAGAGCGTCCAGGAGAGCAACACCCTTAGTACCCTGGGGGTCGGTCAATCCCTAGTGATCGGGATGCTTTCGGTGGCGGACAAGCAATCCTAGACCCAAATATCCGTCTAGGGGGTCCGGGATACGTTGTTGGATTGTTTGGTTAAGTTAAGGTTCTTCTTTTCCCATACTTAGTTAGTTTTCCTTTTTGCATCGTTTTCACTGAATTGACGGTCGTTTGTTCTCCACAGACATCTTTGACT